CCACAACTCATTCATCTGCCTGTACCCATTGGGGCCATATACATTAGTTATCACCCACCTGTTTGAATTTGACAAGGACTGAAAATTTTCCAACCAATTCTTCAACTCCTTTGACAACTTCATTTTTCCACAAGGTCACTATTCCTCCAAAAGATCCCCATGAGGGGCTCATTGCCCAACTTATACCATTTGCTCTCCATACACTTCTAGCCCACCTACTATTAAATGTCATGAGCTTAGATTCCTGAATTAGGAGTATATCTGGATTTTCTTTTCTTAGTAGCTCCTTTATTAACACCCTCTTTCTTACATTCYCCAAACCTCACAATCTTCATATTGCCTTCTTAGTTTGTCCCTAATCTCCTTTCTTCCTATCTTCCTCCTTTCCTTCCCCTTCCCTTTCTTTCACCGACTTTTTTATCCCCTCCACATCTAGCTTCAGCATTTCAACTTCACTCGTCTTTCTTTTTCTCACCTTCCCTTCTTCTTTTCTATTCTTCAAGTATGTTTTCAGCTCATTCGGATTCTTTATTTCACAACCCAATTTTCCCACAAATTCAGCCAACGACTCTTCTTTTGCTTCTTCCTTTTCAAACTCCTCTAGTTCCTTCTCTTTTGTCCCCTCATTCTTTCTATATCCCACCACTTCTCCAATAATTTCATACCCTCTGCCCGCACTCTCACTTTTCTTCTTTTTTTTCTTTATGGCTTCCTTTGTCAATACATTAAGCTCTTCCACTATCATGCTCCACACTTTCTCCCTTCTATGCTCTTTCTCTTGTGCCTCAACTTCATCATGGGCAAACTGCAAGGAAGCAACTGTAGAACCTGAAGTACAAACAGCAAGACCAGAGCTAGAGTTAGTACCAAAACCCAAAGGCACTGACATACCTGGAACTGAGTTTGAAGTAGATTCGACAAGGGCCTGGACTTCACAATTCACACCCATAATAGATTTTTGTAAGGAACTTTTGAAGAGATGGGAGATCCATCATATAGATGGCCGAACCCTGCAAGGAGGTTGGGCAAATTTTCAAAAATTTCTTTGCTCCCATCCGGGAATCATATTCCCAATTTAGAAAACTGCATTTTCAAGGTTCGTTCTTGTAATCAAAACAGACCAAATCTGAAACCAAGATTAGGGAGAAGTATACCTGATACGAAATCCACGTAAAAATGCTCCTCCCAACACAGGTGTTCACACCCAAAGAGTGTACCAAATCCTCCCTCCACTAAAGATGACACAGCTTAGGATGAGGCAGGATCAACAGGTAGTTCTTCACCAAGAACCTCTGATTCTTCAGCAAGAATCGAATGGGGTAGTGAGCATAACTTTAGAATTGTTTCTTCAAGGAAGAAACAATATCAAGATCTAACCTTGATCAGTTCCAAGAAAATGGAGATCGAACAAGGTAGGGCGGCAAGAGCAAGGAGAGAAAGAACTGAAGGCATAAACATTCAAACTATGTTTTCTATGTTTTTTTTCCAGGTCCACCCTGCTCTTTATATATAGCCTTAAAGAGATGATCTCCTAATCTGATTAGGAGTTTCTTGATCAAAATCTTTATTTGGATTTGAACTCTTTATGTGATAAGGATAATCCCTTATCTTATCTGTAGATCAAGATCAGCAATTCCTAATCAAATTAGGAGTTCCTTGATCCAAATCTCTATTTGGATCTGGACTCTTTAAGTGGATAAGAGTTATCCTCTTATCCTTATCTGCTGATCCATACCCAGATTCGCCCCTATTTAATTAATCCAATTAACCCAGTTCGAAATGGGCTTTAGGCCCATTAAGATTTCAAGCTCACTTCCTTTTAATGTTGGCTAGCTTGGCTCTCTTTGTATGGCGTGGGACCATATCATTGATCTACACATCAGCCACATGTGTTCAGCCTAGCCTCTGTTACAAGGCCTGGCCGAATTCACTGCTGAATACAGTGAACCCCTGAGTCCATCACCATGGGCTCTTAATGGGCCCAACATTTACACTAAATGGTCCTTGGGTCCAGCCATCTTATGAAGGCCCAAAAACTGTGGGCAGATGCAAGATTAGCCCATCAAGTATAACCCTCAATGGTCTTACACTTAACCCCTCAACCCTTAATGATCAAACACTACCCGAATTCCAGGGCAACACTGGAATTTGGTTYGGTTTAGGTTTCAAGAAAACCCACACTGCATGTACCTCAAGTCTCACCCTGGCAACTGAGACAAACCACCCCAACCAACTTGGCGGTACATTAGTGTCAGCCTTGGCAGGATAAATCTCCCAGATCTATCCAACGACTGTGAAAATTCTAAACTAACACGAGTCTCATATTTGTCCAGTTTAAGGGTATTACACAGAAACACACCACAATAACATGAATTAAATATGTACTTTATTCATTTACAATAAATGTCTTAATGTACATCAAGCTGATTGGAGCTAAGAGCATACACTATCTAACAACTTCCTGAGCCTGATTCACACTCACAACTACTTCCATCGCTCTGTCGTTTATCCCCCTCTGCGATACCTCTATTCGAAGTTTGAAGATTGACTGATATTATCTTACCAATTCCTTGYTCATCGTTCAATTTCGGACTTGGTGTTCCTCTTTCCTATACACAGTTTTCCCCTTTATCCACCAAAGTGTGCTCTGCTTCTCTCAGCATTCCACCATTATTAGGAGGTTTTAGAGTAGAAGTTAATTCATTATGTTCCCCAATGAACAGTTCGACAGCTGCAATAAGCAAGTCCTCCACTTCCTCTTTCTCCTACATATCTTCCCCAAAACTGTCACTCTCTGTCCCTGAATCTGGTTCATAGTCATCATTTGAGGATTCGCAATGAACCCAGCCAACGTCCTCCTCTTCGTACTCCTCTCTCCAGCCTCCAGAATACGGTCTTCTTTCCTTGGTTCGCTACTTCAGATTTAGAGACTAGGACCCAATGTAAGTTTAACTTCGCCTCAATTCCGTTACTTCAACTGATTCGTGAATCCTTCTTTTGTTGTTTCTGTGAGGACGATGATAGAGCTTCCAAATGGTCTCCAGTCGCACCCAAGTGGACCCAACTCACATGACCTTTTAAAGTGTCACATGAGTCGAGTAAGACAAATGATCATCTCTCCCTTGGACCTTGTTTGACCCACTAGGAGACCAATTGGGTCAAACCGGTAACTAAACATAAATTTCTCTCCTTTGGGTGGGCCCAGACCTTGGTCCGACCGGGTTGTCCTTTTGATTACCTCTGCGAATGATTGGTGCTCTGTTTTTTTCGGTTCAAAAGGATCTAAATTTTTTCTTTAAATGGCCGACTGTTGGGTTCTGACCGTTTAACTTCCAAAGTGGGGGAGTCTTCATTTCCGATAACGCTTTCCTTCCCAATTCTGCTCGCGTGTCCATCTTTCCTCCCCTATTCTTCGCCAAGTGTAACCCACCTTGCCACGTCACCATCATCTTCAAGCTTCGACCTTCCATACCAGAGTGACACTACCACTTCCTATGCAATCCAGATTTTGTACCAGTAGCCATCAGCACAGAGGTTGAGAGATCTTGGAACAGCTTCAGGTTTCACACCGGCGACCTTCAAGTTCACTGCTCTCAAGTCTGCCGTCTTGAACAATAGGAGAGCACCACCCATGGCTGTCACTATTTTTTGGAGAGTGGTTTTTTGCCATAAATCAAAAGGCAAACCCAGAAGCTTCAACTTCAAACTCCCATCGCCATTTGTTACTGCATTAGCCAAAGGGCACCAGTTCTCTATTGTTACAGTACCCTCACTTGTTTCTACGGTTTTGAAGTCCATTATCTCCTTCCCCCCATCCAATTACAACTTTTCTGCCACTGAAAGGGATTAATATCACAGTTTGGCGAGTCCCAAGCTTGGATGTCACCTCCTCTAGTATCCTTTTTGGTCGTTTACTTCTTTCTTTGCCGACAGGATTAATCTTCGCTCCCAACTTCCTTTCTCCCCCTCCAATGAGATCCTTGGTTCTGGTGTTGTAAGAGACACCACCATTGAGTCTGTATTTTCATCATTTTCTTCTAAACCCAACCTCTCTAATTTTTTCCTTCTCTCTGTCATTTCTTCCTTTCCTAGTACTGCTGTCATTTTTTCTGGTACCCTTACCACTTCATTCTTTCTCTCAGCCATTCTCCGGTGAAGTTCGTTTGCTATCATACTCCAACCTTGCAGACTGTTGCCTTCTGGTATGATGATCCTTTGTTTTTTTTCTTTGCTCAAAACTTTCTTCCAAAACAATGAACCATCCATTGGAGTTTCTCCTTCTCTCAGCGAAATATTCCCTCCTAACTGCCTAAAGGTACTATTCCAGGGCCTACACCAACTTACATGTACTGCTCCGTCCAGGAAGCTCTGAAACCATGATACAGCTTCACCCACTAACAGTATCGTTCCTCTTCTTCCTTCCCTTATCTTTATCGTAAGCTTCTTCTGGTATACAATTTCTTCCATCAAGAACTCTTTTCTCTCTGCTGTAATCACTCTTCTCCATTTTCCAACCACTGAGAATCCTTCGTTCTTCTCCATCTTCAGCATCTTGAACCGAGGAATTTTCCAGCAGACGAGCTCTCACCAGACCTCCTCATTGAACTGATTTGGTTGAGAATTTCTGGGGCACTTTGGGGGCATCCTCAAAGTTCTCCAAGGTGCTAGTGCCCTTTGCTGGTTTTCACAGAAAGAACATGGGAGGACTAACAACATTGACTATCTATTCTGTTTGATTATGAGCTGATCACAGAGTGMAGTTTAAAGGTAAAACAAATGCATTCATGGAGTGGAGTTGTCGACCAAAACAAACTAATGTTGTTTATGTAGCTCTAGTTGGGTACTTGGGTATAGTTGCTCATGTTTATAATGAATTACTGTTGTTTATCTATATATCTATATATATGGATATATAGATATAGATAAAGATATATAAATATATATATATATATATGCATATTATTCATAAAGAAATAAAAGAAAAAATGCAGAAGTGGAACCTCAAAGTTACAGTTTTCATGTGCACTTTTCAAGCACTCTTGGTATTCTTCAGATATGGAGATTTCACCACATGCACCCGTATGTAGTTTGTCGATGCCCTACAAGAAAAGCACAAGTTGTCAAGTACGTAAATGCAATTTGTCAATATTCAAGAATAAAATTTACACAAATACAAAGAAGAGACATACCAAGCAGGTTAAGAAGAAAAACAAAATGTTATCACACTAATGTTCAAAAAATAGTAACAGGATGGAGATGTTACCAAATGCTTCTTCAAACTTCATTTAGAAAACTTGTAGTTTGCTAGTCCTGATTCCCCAATAATCAGTGGCTACTGCCAGCTCTAAGAAAGACATTTCTGTGAGATTTTTTTTACATTTTCTATTATTTTCCTCAGACATGGATTGAAAATAATTTCTCTAAAAAACATCCTGTTACTTTCTTTGTCTAGTGCTGCATACATCATCCAATCTTTTCCAAAACATAATGTTCAACTATTAAGATTTTTTTATCTGTAACAAATAAGTTATATTAATTTTCAAAAGAGAATTCTTTGAATACAAGTAGAGCCAATCACCCCTTATGAGAATCTTAGGCTGACCTCAACCGTATAAGCCCCTTGATATATTTGTATTACATGTTCCCCAAGTGCAATTGTCTTCTTTGCATTATTTTTAAGATTATTCATAAAAAAAAAAAAAAAAAAACATCAAATTGGCTTTTGAAAATAACAATAGGTATGCAAAACTCTCTTTTTTTTATCAATAACTTTGAAAAGATTTCATTAAGTAGAAAACTTTAGGATATAACAAGAAGTTGTGAAAGAAATCAGGTTTAGTAAGCTGACCCAGGACAGAATTACAAATGTGCCCAAAACATATGTGTTCTTTGAACCCCTTGATTTGCTAAACTATCTGCCAAACTGTTGGCAGATCTCCTAACCCATCCCACCTGGATTGACATGTTCCTTGACATCCATTTTGGAAATCATTCTTCAACTGCCATGTCACCCCTTCCCCTTTCCGCAACCATTTTATCACAGTTTTTGAGTCTCCCTCGATGATCAGTCTATTAATACCCAACTCTTTAGCCTTCTCAACCCCATATGCTGCAGCTAGAAACTCTGCCCTTGCCACATCACCGTCCTCCACAGGACCAGAGTACAAAGCAATAATGAGTCCATTTTCATCTCTAATGGCCCCCCCAATGCCTGTAGGGCCTGGGTTACCCACACAACTCCCATCAAAGTTCAGCTTCTTCCAACCATCTAATGGAGGAGACCATGCCTCAAAAAGCTGTTGTCTCGTAGATGAGGAGGCAGCAATAAGTCCCCAAACCCTGAAAAAGTCTTCGACCTTAAAAGCTGAAAACAACTTCAAGCTTTTTACCCAATGTGCCACCCTCAATGTTATTGTTTCGACTAAAGCTTCCTTGTATTTTTTTCCTTCAAATATTTTATCATTTCTTTCCTCCCAAACGGTCCAAAGTATTGCTGCTCTAGTACACCTCCATAGAATCCTACCCCTCCTTTTCATGCCACTGATACCATTAGGGCTGAATAAACCTTCCACCCTATTAGGAGAAGACCACCTGCACCCAAAAAGGGAAGTAAACCAATTCCAAATAAAACTGACAAAGGGGCAAGATATTAGAAGGTGGAAAGCAGTCTCACCACTCAACTTACACAGGACACATCAGTTGGGGGACAAGCACCAATTTGGTCTTTTCCTTTGAAGTACATCAAAGGTATTAATACAAACATGAAATACTTCCCAACAAAAAGTACTCATTTTAGGGGGAGTAGGAGGGAACCAAATTTCTTTGACTGGGAAAGGAATAGAAGATTGTGTGGCAACCAACGAATGTAGAAGGGATTTACAAGACAACGACCTGTCAAAATGAGGACCCCAAATCCTAGAATCTAAACCACCTTCTCCCAAGAATACTGAATTCAACAATCCTAACAGCTCGGACACTACAAAAAGTTCAGACTCTCTAAGGTTCCTGTTAAAGCCAAACTTCCAATTCAACCCTGGAAGGTGAGATGGTTGACTTAGGAAATCTGAAATAGGCTTACCCTTGAACCTGGACAGATCACAAAGATAAGGAAATTGCTCACCCAAAGGAGTATCCCCAATCCACACATCCTCCCAAAATCTGATTTTACTACCAGAAGACAAGTCGTATCTGATATGATTTAGGAAGGTAGGGAAAACATCAAGGATGGCCTTCCAGGGAGCAGCCAAGGTAGCTCCCATCCGTTGCTCGACATGCCATGAATGCTTGCAACCACTTTGTGCCATAATTTCTCATTTTCATTTGGAAACTTCCAAAGCCATTTGCAAAGCAAAGCCTGATTCTTCAGCCTAACATTACCTATTTCCAAACCCCCTTCCACCTTCAACTTCCTCACCTTTTCCCATCTAACCAAATGATCCTTCTTTTTTTCCCCTGGCTCCCAAAGAAAATCCCTCATGATTTTTGCCCTTGGCATCCTAAACACTGACATGTAGTACACTGGAAGATTTCCTTTTGTTTCAATACCATTGCTACATTTTAAGGAGTGTTTTGATGTTATATTGCATTTTTCCTTTGTGTATTTTGAGTGGTTGGACTTTTTTCAGTTCCTTATAACTTCTTCACTACATAGGAATTAGGAAGTAGGCTTGCACTTTTTATCCTTTATTTACCTTTCTTAACAAGCTTTCTATCAGTCAAAATGAAGCCATTTAAAGGAACTAGACTAAGATGGTTTGACCTAGTGCAAAGAAATTAAATGAATTGTCTTTCTTTGTTTGGGCAGCTTATCTGAATAAGATTCTAACAAGGAATGATCTGTTGAATAGGGAAGTGGTGGTGGACAGAGTGAATTGTGAGTTGTGTGAAGAACATGAAGAATCAACTGACGACATCTTTATTCACTGCAAGTTCGCCAACAATGTTTGTTCCAAATTTATGAAATTATTTGCCACCAAAGGGTAATTTCCTGCTTCAGGTGAGGACTTTCTAAAGGGGTAGAGATTGGAAGGTTTGAGCAAAAAAGGAAGAATCATATGGATCAAACACTGTTCCAGCAGAAGCTTTTTTTCATGATTTGGCAAGAGAGAGTATAGACATAATAGTCAAATTGGGCCCGTTATATTACTTTATGTTTTCTTTTCTTGTTAGGCCTACATAAGTGAGCCTTATTAGATTAAGTTTTAAGTTGTCACATGCTTGTTTTAGTTTTAAGTTGTCACATGCTTCAACCAGAACATGAAAGCACTCACATCCTCAGCTCTTCTTACGATCCTAGCCACTGTCTTGGTCTTGAGGTTTAGCACTAATCAGTATAAGAGATGAACGCAATTATTTTGGATGAAATCTAGAGATAACATTTGCAGGTTGTTTTTTCATACAGATGTTGTTGGTTTTATTACAAAATTAGTTTCATAGGTTTTATTTTCTTACATGGCCTTTTTATTTACTTTGTGAATGAAACCAGTTCCTGTAAGAATTTATGAGTCTCTCTGGAAAGCCTTGCTCGACAATACCAGTATTGTGTTGTACCAAATTATCAAGATGTTGCATTGCACTAATGCCGTAATTCCCACTACGATGTCCACATAATCCATGTCCATTCAGAACAATATAATCACTCCTCAAGAGTCTCCTATTACATTAGATCTTACTCATATACCAAAAAACTTTGCAGTAACTTCTCTTTAGTACTAACCTGCGACTCAATGACCTCCAATGAATCATTCAAACCTTCAAGATCACTCTCAAATCGAGCAGAATCTAGCGACATGAAGACAGCAAATTAGAACAAGATAGAACACAAACGAAAATTAACAACAACACTACAACCATCCTACCTTCCATATAAGTTCTTGTGAGATCCTCAATTTCTTCAGATATTTTCACATTTTCAGCCTCGACCATCTTTAGTTTCTCTTTCATGTGTTCCAAATACGCCTCTAAATCGACAAATGAAACAAAAAAATGTCAGAATAAGCTACAAAAATGGTAGGAAAATGAAAAGGAAAGTACAGAGAGAGATGCATACCCAAATCATCTGGCCCTAAGCAGCTCAAATCCGAAAACTCTGACGTAATTTGCTTGATTTTGCTCTAAGGAACAAAAAGTAAAACATTAAAAGAGAAATAAGTCAAGTTATCGACAGAAGACCAGACACGTTAAAAAAATAAAACCCAGAAAAGTTTAAAAAAAAAAAA